CCAGAGACAGAGCCGCCGGCGGCAACCAGAGGAATTGGATTCAGGAGGGGACAAAACACACAGACACAATTAATCGTCCACTCCCAGGAGAATATGGGAAAATATGGGAAGTGGGGGGGAAGACAAAAATTCAAAACATAGGGGAAAATATGGGGAATCATTTCATTTGTGTGTATTTATTTGTGTGTCCTGGGGCCCCTTCATGGATGCAGTGCCCACGAGGCCCGCACCGGGCTCTGCCACACCTCGGGGCGAGGCAGGCGGCGGCACCGTCCGTGGGGCTCACTAGAAAATGGCAGGGAAGGCCCAGGACGGCTTCGTCGAGCTGGTTCGCTGCATGAGGGGCGAGTTGGCCTTCTCGCTTTCGCAAGCCGCGTCTCGGACGAACCCGAATGGCAAGGCAGGACCGCCCTCGGCTCCGAAAGATTCGATGTGGTGGTTCATGCAGGGTGCCTGGTCAACCGGGGCGGCAGCTTGGAACCACAAGTTCATCGGAGCGATTGGCCTGTGGAGCCTTCTGTCTGGCAAGACATAGAAGTAGTTCGGCATCGGCGAGCCAGTCAATGATAGAGTGCAGGTCTTGCGGTCAGCCAGCGCGACGCTCGACGAAATCACTGGCTCGTGCGGCGGTGTCATCGAGCGCCAGAGGACGGCAGCCGAGAGGGAGCGGCGCTCAGGCTGATCGCGGCGGGCTTCTTATCCGCGGCAGCCTTCTCCGGTGGGTGTTGAGACACGAAGCGGGAACAGTACAGCTGAGCGAAGAGCGTTGTCCTCATCGACCAGGGCGCAGCAGCCTCCGATGTTGACGACGACGACGGCGACAGCCTCGTGAAACACCCAGGAACGCACGCTCCATCGGAGCGGCAGGTGGTTTTGCAGAGTCAGATCGGCCAGCTGACGTTTGACCGTGGCAAACTTGCCGCGGGTGGCGTCGGTAATCTTCGGCCCTCCCCATTCAGTTGCGCTGACTCGCAGTCAGTTCCCTGCAGTTGAATTCATCTTCCCTCAGTTGCACTCAGTTCCGCTCCAGTGCTTCTGCTTTGCTGACTGGGTGCAGGAAGCCCGCGCTGAGCCTCGCCAGCGTTGCGGAGCTGAGCGACTTTAGCCAGCGGCGCGCCAGATCTTTTCAGGGATGCTCGAGGTGAATTGCCCCCGGAAACCCTTGCAACGAGTTCGCCGTCGCTGTCGACGGAGCTGGAACGCAAGCAGGTCCTGGCGCGTGCCAGCATCGAGGTTGGCTCGACGCTTCCTGGGAGCAGTCCTGCCCCGCCCAGCGTCGCGACTGAGCCTGTACTGCGCGCCGTGAGAAAGCCCTCCGATGTGTGCCGCGAGAAAAGTCGCCCCTGCGCGCGCCGCGGACAAGCCTCCCACTCTATCGCGCCAACGGGCCAGCGAGCCGCGAGCAACCCTGCCGCGGGGTACGCCGCGAACAGGACTGTCCCGATAGGCGCTGAGTGTAGGCTGGGCGCGCTCCTGGGGCGTCGCTGCCGATGGGTGCGACGTCGACGATTGGCGAACTTTGGCGCTGCAAGCTCCAGCATGCTCCAGCGGGGGCACGCAGCCGAGAAGGCCCAAGGTGATGCTTGCTACTCGCGACGTTGCGGGCAGAGGTCCGAGATCCTGGGGCCACCCGTCGTTCCGGACCTGCAGAGGCCTATGGCGCGATGCGAGCACGGACGACGCCAACAATATTCTTCCAAAGTTGGCGCACGCGATGTAGCGCGACTCCAAGAGGTGCGATAGAAACTCGTAGCGGACGAGATCGCGCGCTGGCAGCAAACGCATCTGCCCTCGGCCATCCACGCTTGCGTCGGGCACTCGACACGAAGAGTATGCTTGCATTGTTGCCGCGGGTCTTGTCGGCAGACTTTGAAGGTGGCGCGAGATGACGCCAGACTCTGTCGGTGGGAGGTCTGCTTGCGCGAGAGAGATTTGCTGGGGAGGGGAAAAACTGCGACATCTTGCGTCGTGGCGTTTGCTTGCAGCCCGGTTCGCACGGCGGCGCCTCGCCGACAGTGGAGACTTTGGTCTTCGCTTTCGACGGTGAGGGCGTGACAGCCGCGCTGGGTGGCGCGCGCCCAGGGGACGAAACGAAGACCGCATCGAACCGTGGCCCAGCTGTCGGAGCGCCTGCGGCGGCGACGGTGTTTCGGGGCCTGCCGGCATGGCATGGCGCTGGCGACGCGGAGTTCCAAGTGCTCGTCTCGGGAGACTAGGCGCAGTGGTTAATCGGCGCGCGACGTCCTGGCACCGAATATACCTCGGGGCGCTTCGCAAAGTGAGGCCCCGCGGCATCGGGTGAGCGCGCTGCAGAGCTGTGCGCTCGAGGGGTGGCGCCGGCCTGGAGGCGCGCCCAAAAGCTCGTTTTTCCGGGGGGGCCCCCGCTGCGCAGCCCTCCGCGCGGCGCGAGGCTGGCCAGCCCGGATGTCGTTTTCGATGCGAGCTCGGCGGCCCTCGACGCTCCCGCATCGTCGGCGCGGCCGCCCTTCGAGGGCGCGCGCCGAGCGCGGCCGAGCGCGGCCACTCCTGGGGGGGGCCGCGGCCAGTTCGGGCCAGCGAGCGGGCCGCCGGGCTTCGACGTGGGCGCGCGCGGCTTCCCGCTCGCGCGGAGGGGGCCTGCCGCGAATAAAAGAGTTGCAGGTGGCGGCGGATCGCCGGAGCTGAAAGGCTGCGGGTCTCGTAGGGCCCCGCGGGGCCCTCGTGGTTTCGCAAGGGCCTCGGGTGAGGCCTGCCTCCTCGCAGCGGAAGCAGCGCGTGAAGAGGCCGCCGTCGTCTGGGCGCCGATCGTGGTGCGCCGTGACTGCACTTCTGTAGTTCTGCGGGGTAGGCGGTCTGCTCCGCGCGAGGGCGCATCCCGTCCGACGGGTTGATTATGCGGTTTGGCGCGGAGTAGTTTCTGTTCCTTGTTTGGATTTAAGCATGTTACAGGCCGTGCAGAGACCGAACTTATTCATGTTAGGATTTTGGATCGGGATGGGGGATTCATCGAGCGCGGCGCTGTAGGGGTAGTAGTAAGCTGTATTCATCCGTTTTCCTGCCAGTCTCCCCTTGGCCGTCGTCCTTGCTCGTTTTGGGATCAAGCATTGCCGCCTGATGCCCAGCCATGTATTCAAGCGACTTGCGCCATTCCATCGACCCCCAGAAGGAGTGAGAACTTGCGACGATCGTGGAAGTTGTCCAGTTGGACTCGAGCCGCTTGGATACATATGAGTGGTCGTTGGGATGCTTCTCAGGAACATCTTGGGGGGCTCTTTGTGGCATCTGGGACGGTTTGGGGGGTTCTTAGGGGCCTCTTGAGAGCCTCTTGGGGGGTGGGACCTCTTGGGAGCCTCTTGGAGGCCTCTGAGCGCTGCGGGCCTCGGGGGCATCTTGGAGGGCTCTTGGGCCATCTTCGGAGGGAAGGCTCGAAATGTCAGTTTGCATTATCCTTCTTGGGCCCCTCTTCGGGGTCTCGGGCTGTCTTCGGGGCCCCTGGGGGCGTCTTGGGGCCATCTTGGCCCGTCTTGGGGCTCTCTTGAGGGCCTCATTGGCCGTCATGGGGTGATCTTGGGAGCCTCCTGGGTCGTCCTTGGAGTATGCTGAAAATATTGTTTTCCTAAGGGAATGGGGCGACACTTGGGTCTTGAAGCCCTCTCGGCGGTCCTCTGAGCGCACTCTTGGGTCGTCTTGGGCGCCTCGTGGGCCGTTTCGAATCCATCTTGGATTGTCGTGGACCTCCCTTGGATCATGTCGGCGGTGTCTTGGACTGTCCTGGCGCTAGGGCCGTCCTGGGGCTCTCGAGAGCCTCTAGAGGCTCCGGGGATGCGTTTTGGGGCTCTCCACCCCCCGGGTTCCCCCGCCCTCTAATCGGGTTTTGGACCTTGGGAGGGGGGAAAGGGGGAGGGGGACAGCCAAATATCCAGGATGGAAAGAAACACACAGACACAATCAATCGGCGATTCCCGAGAAAATATGGGAAAATATGGGAAGTGGGGGGGAAGACAAAAAACCCAGAAAATACAGGAAAATATAAGGATTTGTTTTATTTGTGTGTATTTATTTGTGTGTCCCAGGGCCCCTTCAAATATCTCACGCGTTTTCTCATCACTGGCAGGCGGGGGTCGCCGGACCACTGCTGCTCGACCCACCCGCAGAGGACTTTTGATGCCCACCTTGGAGCTGTTGGATGTTCGTGGTGCTGTGCAGTCGCACGGCCCATCCTCTGCGCATCCGGCGTCGAGGAGGAGGACGAGGAGGAGGAGGAGGAGGAGGAGGAGGAGGAGGAGGAGGAGGAGGAGGAGGAGGAGGGGGGAGGGGGGAGGGGGGAGGGGCGGGTTTTCGGGCACGGGGTAACGAGAATGTATGTCGAATGCACATGGTTGTCGCCTTTTGGGGGTTGTTAATGCCAGCTCGAAATCGGCCTGCCGGCGTGGGACCCACGGGACTTTCCTGTCCCCCGATGACCCCAGGGACCCACGGCGGCGCAGGGACACCTCTGGACGCGCAGGGATCGACGAAGAGTGCACCTCAACTTCTCTTACAGCAAGACGTCTTGTCGTATGCGTCTACTGTACTGCACCTGCTTGCGCTCTCTGCCCGAGTCCTTCTTAAGCGGACATATGAAGACTGCCACTTTTGGCGACCTTGTTGACACTCCCGAGGTGTGTTCCCAGCGGCTTTCCCTGGAACGTATTCCCAATACGCCCACCCCGCGGGTTAACAACATTCAAGGAAGGAAAAACCAACTGGACTGGACAATTGGCGTTTACTAAACGACCCTGGGCGTTTACTAGACAGCTCTACCCTCTTTGATTCCTTCTTTGGGCGCGTTTGCTAAACGGCCTCGCGTGTCGGGGTGGTTACTATCGGGGTAGATTTTCTCTCCTCTACACCCCGCGGGTTAACAACGCATCCCCTCCGTCCCTCCGAACCTCGGCCTCTCGTCCTTCCGTCCGCGGTTTGCCCTCCTCAAACCCTGCCTGCTTGCCTGCTCTTCACTGCCGTCGTCAGCCCCTGCACCCCCTGACTTCCCTTTTTCTCTCCCTCCCTCCCTCCCCCCCTCCCTCTCTGGAGGGGGGCTACACCGCGGCTCCATCAATGCTTGCATGTCAAGCGCATGCTCCACGAGGGAACGAGTGCACACCCTCTCGCACACCGGCCTACCCCCGTTCTGTCAGTCCTCCCTTCTCTCCAGACCTTTCTCGCCTTCCCAGTATAACACAGCGCCTGCGCCCCCAGGGAGAGTGCACCAGCAGAGATCCCCCGTGGCGCCGATATCCCAGGCCAGTGCATGAGTTCCAGGGCGCTACGTAATAGTTTGTCTCGGGCGAGCTCTGCGGGACCAGCACGTTGCCAGACTTCAGACATGATCTCCTGAGGTGACGATCCTTGCTGGCAGCACTGTTTGTTGACACCTTCAGGCGAGGTCGCTCTGGCGTTCGGAAAGGTCTGACCACGGCCCTTTTCGCTGCGATCGCGTCTCTGCCTCCCCTCCCCCCCTCTCCTACAGATCTCTCGGGAAGTTGGGCAAGAATATGGCTGTGTTCCGAGCACACACGACCAGTCACCAGTGGACACAGAATAAGAGAGAGAGAGAGGGAGAGGGAGAGATATACCATGGTTTAGTATAAGCTATTGGGCAACATGCGCGCCTAGTATGCTCTGGTACGCAGTGGGGAGGGCAGCGAGAATACGATACCATTCGAGCGGATATCTTCGTAAGAGGTGTGTTTTTGTTCCTTGCTTGTGGGCCCGCCAGGAGAGTGGCATCACGGCGCCAGAAAGAGCAGCCACATAGGTTTCTGTTGCGGATCTTGCGTTCTCCCTTGCATTTCTGTTTTCGTTTGTTCCTTTCCTTCTCCTCTTGTCTCCCGTCACCTACACGCCTTCCCTCTCCCTTCTATCCTTCCATCTACCAGTCCTGCTCCTACACCCCTCGCCCCTCCCCTACTCTCTTCCCTCCATTTCCATCCCTCGGGAACTCAACATACAGTGTCTTTCCAAGGGCGAGAAACTCGCGAAACGCAGGAAACGGATCCGGAGATTCGCCTAGTCCCCCCCCGAGTCGTTTGGTCAGTTTTTTCCAAGCGGGACAGTGGGTGGACAACATAATTCAAGTTGTTGGAGCAACAACACTAGCAAGCCGCCAAAGGTGAATGAGACATATTGCGAGCTTTACCAAATCCCCACTCCCACATATCAATGCTAACTTGCAATTTTTTCGCGTCCTGGACCTCGGGTGCTGCATCGAGGCCAACACTGAGGTGTAGAGGGTTGGGTAGTGCGCGTCGTGGTGACGTCGCAATCCAGGCGCAGCCGCATGTGGTCACAAATAGCATGCAGTCTTTCGTTTTCCCACCGGAGCTGCCCTCTCAAGCGCCTGGAGTCCGACGAAGGCATCTATACACCACCACCGTGCCAGGCCAGGGCCCTCCTGGGCCGTAGGACGGTGTATCGACCCTCCTGCCTCGGCGCCAGGAGGACGTAATACACCATCCTCGGGCCCAGGATGGCCCTGGCCTGGCACGGCGGTGGTGTATAGATGCTTTCTGCGTACTGGTGGCCAGGGCGCTCTTCCACTCACAGGCTCTCTGCGCGGCGGCCCTCCGCGAACAGCGGGTCCGCCCACGGGCCACGTGGCTTGCGGCCGGCGTGGAGGCGATCGTGTGCGCTGTGGCGCCGCCGGCCGGCTGACACTGCTAAATCAAATTGCACGCCGGCCCCCAGCTTTTGGGGGAGGGCGTGCGCGCCGAAGGGGCCCTGGCAGGGGCCCAGCGTGCACCGAAGGGGGCCCTCGGCGGGGGATTGCCCCACAGGGGTGGCCTGCTTTTCGGAGACCGATGTTTCGACTAGGCGTAAGAGTGACCTTTCGCCGGAGTGACCTTTGGTGCGGGCCAAATGGAGTCCCCCGATCGTCGAGCGCGATAGGGTGGTAGCGTCTTGCGCGCTTGTGTTTGGTCCCTTCCGCGGCCCCTAAAAAGCCGCGCACTAAAGGTCACTCTTACCCAGGGTCACTCTTGCGCGCAGCCGAATGTTGCACGCTGTCTTTCCAACGCCAACCTCATGGGCCTCTCCGGAGGAGTGGAGGTGGTGGGCCGTCGCCGTCTTTCTCTTCGTCCTCGCACCGTCGTCTCTTATGGTCGTCACACCTGTTTCCAATGCTGCGGTTGCTCTCGTTCAGCTCTCTCGTTTCTTCACGCCTTTCTGTCCAGCGTGTTGCCCAGTAGCACAGCGCGTAGGTTCACAGGCTCGCGCATCCAGCGGGTCCAGTGCTTTCACCATCTATTAAGGCTTTGTTTCATATTGCACGTGGTGCAACGCGACTGGCACCTTCATTGAATCGCTTTACGCACTCCGCCGGCTTAGATGGCATCACTGTTGGCACCTGCTCGTGTAGAGAAGGGCCGTGGATGAGAGCGTGAAGCCGAGAGGGGACACACGAGTCAAAGCGATGCGACGATGATTGGCTCACGCAGGCTCCAAGAGCGGCCACCCTGGAGTCACATTGGAGGCCTGTTGGAGCCGTCGGTGGAGCTCTTTTCGGCACCTCTTCGGAGTCTTTGAGGCCATCTTGGGACTCTTGGGGCCCTTTGTGGACCTTTCCCTCTAGACACCATCCCGGAGACCATCGGCGGCCCCCTGTTGGAGACCGAAGCAGGCCTCTTTGGCCCCTCCTGAGGCCCTCTTGGGGGTCCCTTGGGGCCTTCTTGGGCAGTCTTGGGTCTGGGCCGTCTTGGGGGGCTCTCTTGGCCGCCTGGGGGGTCTTGTGGGGTCGTCTTGGGTATTCTTGGCCCGTCTATGAGCCCTCTTGGGCAGTCATGGGAAGCTCTGGAGGCTCTCTGTGGCCAGATTGGGGTTCTCTTGGGGCAGTCCTGGGCATTCTAGAGGCCCTCTTGGGGCTCTCAGTGGGGTCCTTTGGGCCCTCGAAGGCCACAGGTGGATCGATCTTCGACCGAAGAGCGTGGAAAGCGAACCACATTGCAACGCCAAAGGGAAATGTTTGTCAGCATGGACCCCGAACAGTGAGTTCATGCACTGGGTATGCAACACATGTGGTGCAAGCTATGTGGTTCACTGTATGTGGTGCATGCTATGTGATGTAAGCTAGGCGGGGCAGTGTATTTTTGGTGTATGATAGATGGTGCAAGCTGTGTGGTGCTTCGTGGATCCCCACCAGCTCTGACGCCGCGCCGGTGCCCGCTCGCGGTCGCGATCAAAAAGGATCCCCACCAGCCCGTCCAGAAACGGATCGCCAGGCGAGTTGCTTTGATCAGGGAAGTGTAGAAGTATGCAGCGCAGCATCCGCATTGGACGCGTTGTGTCGGAGGTCCTTTGGAGCCATCTTAGGGCTCTCTTAGGGTCCTCGCGGGACCTCTTGGGGCATTCTTGGGGCCCTCTTGGAGCTCTCTTGGGACTTTCTTATGGCCTTATGGGGGCTTGGGGGGCTCTTGGGGTCGTTGGGCCCCATGGTTCAAACGGGGGCGGGGGGCGGGTAGGAAACTCAGCCCCCCCCCCCCCTGGAAGGCTCAAACATTTCGTCGTGGTTCCCTCTTGGGCCGCTCTCGAGGCCTCTTGGGCGTACTTGAGGTCCTCTTGGGCCCTCGTGGGCCCCTCTTGGGACTTTGTTGCGCCATGTTGGTGCCATCGTGAGGCCTCAAAAGCATTTCGGAAGCAAGGCAGCGAGACTGCAACAACACGGTGCGTGTCCTTAGGTGTTTGAAGGAGGTTTGGCCTCTCGGTGGAGCCCTTGGAGGGTTCGGAGGGCGCTTGACATCGTCTTCGGGCTGTCTTGGGCCTCTTGGATGTGTGTCGGATGCTATACTGACTCATCTTGAGCTACCCTGAGCTATTTTGGTCCATCTTGGAGGCCACCTTGGGCATCTGATGCCCTCTTGGAGTCATCTTGGCCCATCTTGGACGCTCCAATGGGTACCCCCCTCTCCCAGGCCCAGTGGTGGGGGTAGGAGGAGGGGTGAACCCCACCCCGAGCTGGGGAAGGAGGGCTTTTTGGAGGAGAGAAGACACGAGTTCGTTAAGGCACATACGCCCAGAGGGCTGGTGGGATTTAGGTGATGCAGTCCATGGCTTGCACTCCATGTGATGCACGCTAGGTGGCAGTTCACGTGGTGCATGATCTGCATCGCATGCCGTGTGGTGCAAACGGTGCGGTGCAAGCTACATGGTTCAATGATTTGTCAACGTTGCAGTCGTGAGCTCCAATGCTTGAGCACGTATCCTGCCGACCCGCAATTTGTCGACACCACTTAAAAGCAAGCGTAATGCCACGATGGCTCTTCCTATGCAGATCCATGACTCGGGTGGGTGGGCTATGATTGCGATGATGGTTTTCATGGTGCCAGTGATGATGCTGACCATTATGATGATGATGCAGCTGCTGATGAGGATGCCGACGATGACGGTGACGATGCCGACGATGATGACGACGACGATGACAATGACGATGACGACGATGATAATGATGATGATGGTGATGGTGATGGTAATGGTGATGTTGATGGTGCTGATGATGATGGTGATGATGGTGATGGTGAGGCTGATGATGATGATGACGATGATGATGATGGTGATCATAATAATACTGATGATGACGATGATGATGAGGATGAGGATGACCATGGGGATGTTGACGGTGCTGGGGATGATTATGACGACGACGATGACGATGTTGATTATGATGATGATGATGATGATGATGATGATAATGATGATGGTGATGCTGATAGAGGTGGAGAGTGGGATCGGGATGGTAATGATGATGCTGCTGATGACGATAATGATGACGATGCTGATGATGATGCTGCTGATGCTGATAATGATGATGGTGGTTGTGGTGGTGGTGATGGTGGTGGTAAAGGTGGTTACGATCACGATGATGATGCTGATAATGATAATGATACTGGTGATGGCGATGATGATGATGATGATGCTGATGATGATGATGATGATGATGATGATGATGCTGATGATGATGATGATGATGATGATGATGATGATGATGATGATGATGACGATATGATGATGGTGACGGGGATGCTGATGATGATGATGTTGATGACAATCATGATGATGATGATGATGATGATGATGATGATGAGGATGAGGAGGAGGATGAGGATGAGGATGAGTATGAGGATGATGATGATGATGATGATGGTGGTGGCGTTGATGGCGAGGGCGGCGACAACGACGACGCCAGCGACCATGATGACAGTGATGACGACGGTGAGGCCGACGTCGGCAGCGATGGTTATGTTGATGATTGCGATGATGGGGGTGGTGCAGGCGATGATGGTGATGACGATGCTGCTGATGATGATGCTGGTGAGGGTGTTTGTGATGCTGATAGTGAAGATGATGACGATGATGATGATGATGCTGCTGCTGATGATGATGACGATGGCGATGATGATGATGATGATGATGATGATGATGATGATGATGATGATGATGATGATGATGATGATGATGACGATGACGATGACGATGATGACGATGACGATGACGATGACGATGACGATGACGATGATAATGATGCTGTTGTTGATGATGAGGACACTGAGGACGATGCTGATGCTGATGATGACGACGACGATGATGATGATGATTATGATGCTGATGCTTATGACGATGGCGATAACGTTGACGATGATGATGAGGAGGAGGAGGAGGATTCTGTCGATGGTGATGATGTCGATGCTGATGGGGATGCTGCTGGTGGTGGTGGTGATGACGATTATGGTAATGATGATGATGATGATGATGATGGTGGTGGTGATGATGATGCTCCTTCTTATCCCCATCGCGCCCGCTGATTGCAGTCGTCTGCAGCTTCTCGGCCCGATAGCTGCCCCGCTCGCCCCCCACTCCCCTCCCCGCGCGCGCGCGGCCGGGGCGCCAGGGGCCCGCGGGGCCATCGCCGTTCAGGTTTCCTCGACACCTACGCGGCGATCGTCGACTCCGGGTTCGCCACCCCGCGCTGGCCCAAGTCGGTCGGGCCGGCGCCTGTGGCCCGTACGACGAGAGCGAGCGTCGGGGCCGACCGTCCGTTCTGAGCGGTGGTCGGTCGGGCAGGCGCGCCTTTCGGCACCCTGCCTGCCGTGGCCACTGGGCCTTGCTAGCACCGTCGCTGCTCGCTCTTCGGCGGGCGGTGCGGACAGGGCCCATGCCACGTCCTGCCGTTGGCAGGTCTCTCCAGCCTGCACCAGTCTGGTGGTCTTCGGCGCTCTCCACGCCGACTTCGGCGCAAAACTCCTCTCCCTCCTCCTTCGCCTTCTCCCCCTTGGCCTTTGGGGCGGCGGAGCAGGAGGCCCATCTGAGGAGAGGAGTAGGAGGGGGGCCTCACACGCCGCAGCGCCACGCCTTGCGCCGTGGCGCAGCGCCAGCCCTCGTCTCGGGCGTTCAAAGTGCCGCCGCGCCTGGGGTCTCAGCCGCCGCTTCTACGCAAGACTTTCAGCCGCCGCGACAGAGACGCCCGACGGAGGGCACAGTGGCCAAAGGCGCTCCGACGCGCCGCCCAAGGGCTTCAGCCGCCGCGCAAGCCATGCCCGCCATTCCTGCTGCCAGCGAACCCAATGCCAGCGTGTTCAACGCCGAAGCACCAGAGGGGTGCCCTGCGAAGATAACTGCGCTCTTGGGAAGGGAAGTGGTGGACGAGGATCTCTCTTACCTCCCCCCAACTCCTTCTCCTTGCCTCTACTCCGCCACCTGGCTCACCTGTGCCGCTAGGCATGGCGACCACTTTGTGGGCCCCGCCTGCTCCACCGTGGGCGGGGGAGCGTCACTCGCGGGGCACACGGGCTTTGCCGCCGCCTCGGTTTCCTGGCCTTCGGCTGGAGGCATCGCCGCGGCCACTTCTGCCGACGATGCTGCTCGGACCGCCGGGGGCGGATACATTCGCGCACCTCCAGGCTTGGACCCGCTGCCTCCTGGGCCTCCGGTCAGGCAGATTGGGCCGCCTCCGGGCCTTGACGTCTTGGAGGTTGGTTCCCAGAGGCTCAGTGCGGCATGCCCGCGCCGTGGCGCGGCTGCGGCTTGGAGCCCCACGGTCGTCTATCAGGTCCGACCTGGGGCCACGGCGTCAGAGGCCGCGCTTCCTCTACTGAGGACGCCGCCTCCGCCGCCACAGGGTCGCCCCTGGAGCGGTGCGTTGGCCCTGGTGGAGGCGGGGTGCTCCGTCGTCCCTCCTCGGGGTTCTTCGGCGGCCATGTCCGACTGCGGCCTTGACGGGGGTAGTCCCTCCTTTTCGAGGGCGGCGCCGCGGTGTGGCTCGAAAGGGGTTGGTATGCGCCCTGCCAGCGATGCTGATACGGCCCCGCAGGGAGGGGCTCGTACCGCCCCCCCAGCCGCCACCGCAGTCCACCAGCCTGG